GAAAAGTGAATTATATTTTATTAGACTCACTAGGGCATGATGTTTCCTCTTGTTTCTACAAGCATTCATTTTTATTAAGGATTACCATTGACCTTGTTTGCATTTAAAGTGCACTTGCCAAAGCAAATTATAAAGGTCAAATGGTGAAGGCATATCTTTTATATGAATCATCTCTTAGGCTCTTAAATTTTTATAGACAAAAATCAGTATTTGGGCATATTAACTTTGAAAAAATTTTCTAGCATAAAGTAGTGTTTATTCAAAATTGGAGATATAGATCAAATGGGTATAACGACATTTTAAAAGCACTTTATTGATCCATTTGGTATAAGTTTTATGCCATCTCTTGTGTGCATACAAAGACATGTACAACAATATTAATACTTAAGAGCCGACCATAGAAGAGTTTAGCATAATGTAAACAACGACTTTCCTTAAAGAATATTGGTGACAAGAGAAATAAATCTAAAGCGGTAGATATTACCTTTGTTCTAAAAAGCAAAAAAAAATTTTTAAATGAAGCAGAAAAAAACATCTCAAGAATGAAACTAGTAATAATAGGAAAGTATCCTTTAAAAACCTTTAAAAATTTTACTGGTGCTACTTCTGTGTGTACACACACATATACACTCACACACGTCATAAATTATATGTGTATGCGAAGAGTACTGTTTACATCTGGAAATCTACCCCACTGGGAAGGTTAACTGTCAATTCCTGATTGTCCCAGTTTATCTCAACCTCTGATTGGGTGTCTAGGCACGTGACCTCACCCCAGGAAAGTTTATTTGAGTGACTTTTCAGTCTCATCTCCTACTTCATTAAAAGCAACAGAGACAATGAGAAAAGGAATTTGTGCCAGTTCATGGTGCTGCTGGCTGGTGTGAAATAATCATTTTTTTTCAGTTAAAGGACTTCTCCAACTTACTAACTTGTTCCAGGCTCCAGATGCCATTTGGCTATTTAACTGCTTATTGTTTAGTGAATAGTTTGCTTTTTAAAAGAACTTAGTAACTGTCCCTTTCATTAGTTTAAGCACAAAACATCTTGGCTGGAAAAAAAAATTCATCTTTAAGAAAACATTTTTTTTCCATGTGCTTCAAGAGACCATATGGTTTTTATGCAGAACTGTGAAGTAGGTTTGCCAGAGAGTGCCTATTAAGCAGATTAAGCAGCTCAGAAATAAGCAATCTCCAATTTCACTCCAGATATAAAAATTCAGGGTCTTCTTTGGATGACCCCAAGCATTTTTGAGTGACTTTAAGAACTAACTCAGAATACTTTGGAATGTGCCTCTTCCTCTGTAAGGTGATTTTAACTCCCTGGACCATGTGAGAGTCTAAAGTAACTTGTCACCTTCCAACCATCTCCTTTCCTGTCCCTGACCTCCTGGCTTTGGACCAATACTGAAATCAGTTTTTACTTTATCCACAAATGGATGGTATCCTCTCCCTTACTTCCCATACACACATGCCACACACACAGCATTAAAAGCTCTGATTTCTAGACGTTGAATGCCGGTTTTATGTTCTTAATAGATTCACTGAACCAACATTTTTGGAATGTCATCTGTGTGTTAGAGACCATGTTAGGTCTCAGAAATAAGAAGTGATCCTTGCCTTTAATGGTTTAGAAAGATAATTTCAAATTTCTGTGCTGCTTGTCTAAGGCAATAGGTTTAACCATGGTGGGAGGGGAGGTGTGTGTGGAAAAGCAGCATACAATATTTTTGGTCAGTTTCTTTGTTTTCAGGATATGTACCTCCATGTACTTTATTATCCTCCATGCACTTAATTATCTCCTTCTCTTTTTTTCTAATGACCTTGTTTCTATCTCCTTTTCCAGTTTCAAATCCCAGATCAAATGTTACCATTGCTTAGTTTACCCTCACACCTTCAGTTTTCCAATTGTCCCTTTGTTGTATATCCGTCAAATCTCTTAGCATATTGCATTATAGTTACACTAGCTCTGTGAACAGAGCTTTAACATTTCTGATTCATATAAGCTCCCAATAGATGTGTATCAAAAGAGGAAAAAGAAAGACAGGGAGATTTGTGTGTTTATCACTTTTCCTATACAATGAGTTCCTGCAGGAAAGGGCAGGGAGCTGTTTTTGTGGTTGTTTTATATCACCATTTCTATCCTTTTATTTAACAGAGCCTTCCTGCTCATTGTTGAAAGTTAGAGAAAATAAAAAATAGGCCTTGATCCACATATTACCCTTAAGAAGCTTGGGATGTCCACAACCTTCTTGTTTGTAATATTTTCTTTATTGTCATTCCTCAAGAGCAACCATACTTTCTTTATTGTCATTCCTCAAGAATATTTATATGAAGAACTTTTAGAATAATGTCCCCAAATGGCTCTTAAATGTAGATGTTTCTCTCTTAAAAAACAAGACAAAAATATTAATAATAGTAAACTCTAAGGAAACCCTACATCTATAATGTCTTGCTAGAGTATTTTGAAAATGTGCTCTGGTTGTGGTTAAAAGGACAGTGATCTGTACATTTAAATATGTCATTATTGGTTAGCAGATGGGAAAAAAATGGCCACAGATAGTGATTACCAGTAAATAAGAGTTGTTATTGGCTTGCTTAAAAAGATGGTTTCAAAATGCAAATAAAGCACATTTTTTGCCACTTACAGAAATAGGAAGCTTTACGAAGCAATGAAATGCTTAAGGTGTTGACTGTTTTATCACAAAGCTGAATTAACATTTAAAGAATTGTATACCATATGCTTCCTTCAGTATTTGATATGTTCTTACTCTACTCATTGTGCACATAGTCATTGTCTTGTGATAAAGGTTTATAAATATTTATATATTTTTAAACAGATTTTTTATATATCTCATTCTTTAAATGAAACACTGAAAACTTAAAAAAAAACAGACATGACAGCTGGGAAAAATTGCAAAGTCATGCAATATAGAGATATTCTATAAGGTGTGTTGGATATACTGATTTATACTTACTACTATTACTACATCACCACTACTAACCGCAGCTACTAATGTAAATAATAATGCTGACAATGATAACTCCATTTATTTGTGTAGACTTTTAGACATTACAAGCCTGTCACTGACCTGTTTTTGATTCTCACAACAATCATGCCAGTTTTTCCTAAAGAAAACTCAAAGGTAGCAAAGTATCATATGCAGGAAGATGTTCATCCCTGTGTTATATACGATGATGAAAATATAAATACCAAAATTTATCAGAATAGGTCAACAAATATGATCGATCCATAGACTACAAGGTTAAAAATATTCATGCAAACTTCCATATACCAAAAAGGAAAAATTCTTGTGTTATTCCATTAGAAGAAAACAAGAAGCATATAAAATTTGTAGTACTATTACAACTATGGAAACATTTCTGCATATATGTATTTAGACAAGGTCTCAATGGTAACATGGTCAAATATAAAGTTTTTGATGGCATAGCACAGCAGTAAAGTGTTTGGATTATTTTAGATTTTCAGTAACACTAGTGTTGTTCATTATATCATATACATGTTACATAAGCCTGTAACAATATTTGATGAATGCGTATATTACATAATGCTTCTCTTTAGGGAAAGACCTTTTATGAAAACAATGATTGTAGGTTCCTTTTCAACAGAATGTGATTCTCACCCCATCCCTTGTGCATCTGGATCACCAGGGGTGATTTCAAAGGATACTACTGCTCAAGCTGTACCCTAAGAGACAAGCTTTCAACTAGCCTGGGATAAGGCCCAGGCATTATTTTTGTTTATTTGTTTGTTTGAAGTTCTCCAGGTAATTCTGTTGTGCAGCTTGGATTGAGAACAACTAAAACGATTATAATAAGCAACTGAAATTTTATATTTTTAAATATTAAGTTCCTTGAATTTTCGTCTGAAGCGTAAGACTTTCAAGATTAAGAATGCTATTTGGGTGATGGCATTTGGTCTGATTTAAGGAATCCTAAGTACAGAGTATCTTTATGCTATCAGTGACAAAAAATTTTTAAATGATAAAACATAGTGTTGGTGAGAAATGAACACTGCCATACCCTGTTTATGAAAATGTAAGTTGAATGTGCATTGATCAACTTCACTGTAGGGCAGTATGACAATATGTACTCATATTAAAAAATATGTAAACCCTTTTGTCCCTGGAATTCCACTTTTAAGAATTTATCCTTAGAAAATAACTGAGCATATTGGCAAAGATGAGTTAATAAGAATGTTTACCATAGTGTTGCTTACAACAGTAAAAGATTGTAAACAATCAGATATCCATGACGGTAGATTGATTAAATTTTGGTATATTCATACATGATAGTAGTAAAATGGCTCTAAAGTTAACACGACTTAACATGGAAAGATAGTCAAAACCTATCGATAAAAGAAAAAGGTTACAAAACAGCATGATTCCATTTTTGTTAAAATATGTAATATGTGTATATATGTCTGCATATGTATATACATACAGGTGGGAAAAGCCTGCAGAACTACACATTAAAATATTAATAGTTATCTCCATAGGTATTTTTTATTTTGTTTTATACTCTCATGTATATTCTAGGGTTTTTTTTTTCACTAAAAGGAAGGTAGTGTTATAAATAAAGACCAAAAACATTTTCTTAAATGAAAATATATTTTGAAAAATAAAGCCTTGTTACCTATGTCTACCAGCTACAGCACAGATTGCCCTATCTTCATCACCTTGTCCACTTTGTGAAAAGCAAGCTATTTGACAGAATAGTTAGCTATTTCTTAATATTTTTTAATATTTCTAAACTTCTTCAATATACCTATTTTCAAAGTAGATGAGGAAGTATAGAGTTAAATTTAAGTGTTATTAAACAGTGCCAAATCATCTCTGATTACAATTAATCTGATTTAAATTCCCAAAGGTGGTGTGTAACAAATTAATTGAAATACACCTTAATGTATTTTTATGGGATTGTCTTCTTTAACGTCCATAACTAATAAGTGTTTTTTCTTCTTCTTCTTCTTCATTTTAGGCGGTTCAGGACCATCATCCTCCATAGCCATAGCTGGCACCAGCCACCCTGCCATCACAAAGACAACATCTGTTCTTCAAGATGGCGTCATAGTTACCACCGCAGCTGGAAACCCACTGCAGAGTCAGCTGCCTATTGGGAGTGATTTTCCTTATGTTGGCCAAGAGCACGCACTTCATTTTCCATCCAACAGCACTTCAAACAACCATCTTCCACACCCCTTGAACCCCAGCCTCCTCAGTTCTCTACCTATCTCTTTGCCAGTGAATCAACAGCATCTCCTAAACCAGAATCTATTAAATATCCTCCAGCCTTCAGCAGGAGAAGGCAAGTCTGAGATCAACCTCCACCCTTTAGGTTTTCTCAACCCGAATGTAAACGCTGCTTTAGCTTTTCTCTCCGGTGACATGGATGGGCAGGTATTGCAGCCTGTTCACTTTCAGCTCTTAGCAGCCCTGCTTCAGAACCAAGCCCAAGCAGCTGCCATGCTTCCCCTGCCATCTTTCAATCTGACCATCTCAGATCTTTTGCAACAGCAAAATACCCCTTTACCCTCATTAACACAGATGACAGCCCCACCAGACCATTTGCCAAGCAATCAGTCAGAGAACAGCCGAGCTGAGACCCTTTTAACCAGCCCCCTGGGGAACCCTTTACCGAGCTTTGCAGGCAGTGACACTACTTTTAACCCCCTCTTCCTCCCAGCTGTCACTGGGGCCTCAGGATTAATGGCCTTGAATCCCCAGCTGTTGGGAGGTGTCCTGAACTCAGCATCGGCCAACACCGCTAATCATCCAGAGGTTTCCATAGCAACTTCCTCCCAGGCAACCACTACCACAACCACTACATCATCAGCAGTGGCAGCACTGACTGTCTCAACACTTGGTGGGACAGCAGTGGTGTCAATGGCAGAAACATTGCTGAATATATCTAATAATGCTGGGAATACACCTGGTCCAGCTAAACTCAACAGTAACTCTGTGGTGCCACAGCTACTTAACCCTCTACTGGGGACAGGTCTGCTTGGTAAGTTAAATTTTTTCACAAATTTTTACAAAAGAAACGTTTTTCTAATTCTATTTTCTCCTTTTTAAAAACTCCATTTTGTCACACTATTTTTAAAAATGTTTTTGTTATGTCACAGCTTGCTTAAGGAACTAAATATAATAACACCCACACACACCCATAGTTATACAAACATGAAAATGACTTTTTCCTCTTCCCCTATTCTAGCAGTACTGAATAACATTTTAATCTGCTTTCTCTGATCTTCTAATTCTGATGCCACTTAAACTTAACCTACCTATCATTCTCTTAAGCCAAGTAGAGTCTTATTTTCCAAACAATAAAGCACAGGCCCATCATAAAAATAACTCTTATTTGAATTTTAGTTGGTGTGGCATCACAGGGTTAGTATGAGCGGCTGCACTGTGGATGGAAACTGTTTGAGGAAGTGTTTCTTCCAGGTGACCCCTACATAAACAAAAGTAAATGCTTATCCAGCAAAATAAGAAACAAGGCATAAAAACATCCAAAGATAAATTTTGCTCCAGTTCAAGGAAACAGACAGTCTCAATAGCTGCTGTTAGATTTCCTCAGCCAGTATAATTCCTTAGAACTTTGTGGCTTAAAAACAAAATCCTTCACGTATATTATTCTATCGCAAAAAAGTTAGAAAATAATGCAAGTATATCCAACTGACTGATGCAGATAGCTGTAATATTAAGTGCAGAGATCTATCCAGAAAGTCTCGAAAGAGGCACATACACATAACACTGTCAAAAGGGCATCTGCAGTACCTAAAAATTAATAATAATGTTTCCAGATTTCATGGACACCTTTAGAATATAGTTTACTAATTTTATAGCTTACTAGTTGCTGTAGTTTATTAGTTCTATTTGGTGTCAAAATCAATAGTTAAATAACCTAAAATACATCACAGGTTTACATATTTCAAGTTACAAGACCATTTCAATGGCATTGTCTTCAAGATAATTTCAATGTAATTTTAAAACAAGTTAATTTTGAATTATGAATATGAACTTAGTTGTTGACTAATCCCATCTGATTTAATAATATTCATTTTTAATGATTATGGCAATGAATTCTTTTGTATTATTAGCTTTCTTTACAGTTTTAATTTTAGGTGACCAACCTTTTACTTAAAAACAATATACATATTCCTTGGCCAAATCTGATTTTATTTGGTGGTATTTATTGACGACTGTGGCATGAGAACTAAATTTTGTTAACAAGGCCTGATCAGATCCACTCATTTTAATAATTCGCTCAGATACTTATGATTACTAAAACATTTTACGATTAATTTCCACCTTTAGTTTTAGGTGCTATAACAAAAATAATATCAAGGAGTTTATAACACTGAAGCTCAATCTATAATGATTGGCTAATGGATAGAGCAAAAACTAAGTAGTGTCTCCAGGACATAAAGTCAAAAAACTAATTACGAAAGATAAAATTAATTAATAATAATACTCTCTGTTTACCACTTAGTAAGACATTGATGAGAAAAAGAGAAAAGAATGACCATGCCAAGTGCAGTTTTCAGTTTTTGTTTCAGGAATCCTCAGGTGCATAGATAGGCATAGGATCTCTGAAGAGTCACACTGACTTACATTTTATGTTTTTCAAACTATAGGTGACATGTCCTCAATAAACAATACATTGAATAACCATCAACTGACTCATCTGCAGTCGCTGTTAAACAACAATCAGATGTTTCCTCCAAATCAGCAGCCGCAGCAGCAACTTCTCCAGGGGTACCAGAACCTGCAAGCATTTCAAGGACAGCCCACAATTCCTTGCCCGGCTAACAGTAACCCTATGGCTTGTCTGTTTCAGAACTTTCAGGTACTCTCCTTCACTGGGTTATTCAAATAGTAAACAATGTCTAGGTCTGTTAAAATACTTAACTGGGGGGAAGAGACAGAAAAAGGAGGTCATGTGCCCTCTCACGTCCACTTACTATTATTTCCCAAGAATGACTATTGTTAAACATTCCAGTCTTTTGTGTGAAGGTTATTTTATTTTGACTGAGGCCTCTCAGTGGTCCTTTTGGAGTGGACAGTAAAAACTGATCATATGATCCTCTTAAACCCTTTGGTGGTTTCCACTGCTCTCCTGACTGAAATCTACATCTTTAACATGCCAGCTTGGCCTGACTCTCCAGTCCTGCCCTCACCACTCTCCCTGGCTTCAGCCACATCGCCTTCCTTTACCTTTACAAGCTGAATACACTTCTGATAGATTAAGGATCTAGATGGAAAGAATGACAATAAATATAAAAAGAAAATACAGATTTTTTTTTAATAATCTTGAGGCAGAGAAGGTTCTTTCAGTAAGATACAAAATCAGGAGGTCAAAAAGAAAAGAAGTAATAAGGTTGAATACATAAAACTTTAAAATCTCCATATGATCAAGGGCATTTTAAACAAAGTTAAAGACAAGTGGCACCTGGCAGAAAATACTTGCATAATAATGGCAAGTAATCGACATTCATTACACAAAAAGAGCTCCTACAAATCAGGAAGAAAAAAGATAATTGATAATAGAAATAGAAATAGATAATAGAAAAATGAGCAATAGATATGAACGGAAAATGAAAAATAAATTATTAATGAACATATGAAAAGAGTAATCAGAGTTAGACAAATTACAACATTCATGTGTCAATCAGATTGATTGATATTCCTTGCTGACTTTTAGAGATATTGTTGGTCTGATTGTATGCTGATACAGATTGTATGCTGATACAAATCCAGGTAACTTGACAGTTTATCAGGGTTTTTGTTTTAAGTTTCTTTTATTTATTTTGAGAGAGAGCCAACAGGGGAAGGGCAGAGAGAAAGGGAGAGAGAATCCCAACCAAGCAGGCTCAGTGCTGTCAGCACAGAGCCCAACTTGGGGCTTGAACCCACAAACCGTGAGATCATGACCTGAGCTGAAAGCAAGAGTCAGTCAGTTAACCAACTGAGCCACCCAGGTGCCCCTATCAGGTTTTTAAATATACCTATCCTTGGGTATGCCTGGGTGGTTACCATCCCATATCTTTGGGATGCCTGGGTGGTTCAGTCAGTTAAGCGTTCAACTTCGGCTCAGTTCATGATCTTGTGGTTTGTGAGTGTGAGTCCTGTATTGAGCTCCCTGCTGTCAGCATGGAGCCCACTTCAGATCCTCTGTCTCCCTCTTTCTCTCTCCCACTCCCACCCCCGCACCCGTGCATGGTCTCTCTCTCTCAAAAATAAGCATTTTTCAAAAATAATGTAAAAAATAAATATACATACCCTTTGACCCAGAAGTTCAACTTCTTTGTATCTATTTTAGAGAAATCTTCAAATGTAAACAAAAGGGCACATGCCAGAATGTTCATTACAACGTTACTTGTGGTGACAAAAATTAGAAGCCACTTAAGTGTCTATCAGTAGGGAAATAATTAAATATATTATGGTATATCCATCTTTCTAGTACTAGTAGGTTTAGGTATATTTATATAACTGATTTGAAAAGATCCACAAGATTGCAAGACTTCAATACTGTAGTATTATAGAACAATACTAAAGTACAAAACCATTTATGTGAAAGAAGGAAGGAAAGAAAGAAAATTAGCTATACACCTAAACACCTTAATGTATTAAAAATAAGTGTCTGCAAGGATGCTCTCCAGCACTGATTACTTCTGAGAAGGAAAATGGGATCAGAGTGGGATGGGAAAGTCAGATTTGGATGGGGAGTAGTGATAAAGAAAATTGTATCTATTTTGACAATGAGAATATGTCCATGTACATCTTGTGGAATAAAATAAATTCAGAAGGGAAGACAAAGTGCTCAACCATGTCACTGAGAATCTCAAACAAGCAGATAAAGCCTGAAGAGAGTCCACTAGATTTAGGACATCACCAGTGATGGTGGAATTCAGTTTTGGTGGGGTGATGGGAGCACAAGACAGATTGCAGTGGGTGGAGGGATGAAAAGGTTAGGATTAAAGAGTATGGATTACTCTTTCAAAAACGTGACTAGGAAGAACATAAGAGAAACAGACGTAGGTTGAATGCAAACTTTTAGAATATGGAAGCTATGCACAGGGTTGTATGCTAAAGGAAAAATAAAAATGAAAAGTAGAAAAGATTGAACATAAGGAAGACAAGGGATAACAGATGAGGTAAGATCCCTGAGGAGTGCCTTGGCATCCAGAGCATAAATGAAGGACTTACCTTCAGAGAGCAGAAGAGGGCTCTCTTACGCTGGGAAGCAGGGTCGGATTGGGGGCATAGACAGTTGCAGAGAAGTGTGTCCTGCCAGGGGGCAGAGAGTAGCAGAATATAAGAACTATGAGAATTCTTAACCTTATGAACTCCATTTTCTCTGTGAAGTAAGGCTATCAGCTAATAGTGCTAGAGGTGGTAAGCAGCCAGCTTCAAGAAGTGGATGAAGATTTGAATGGCTGTGAAAGAGAATGGTACCTAACTAGAGGGTCACTGGATTGATGAGAACAATAAGCCCCCAGCTGCAGTTGAACGCCCTGAATTCCTAGACAGATACTCAGCAACTTCACTGTGGATACAGATAAGCAGGCAGTGAAAATGATCCCAGATTGAGATTTTATCTGGTAGGTGTAGACAGGGGAAGAATAACAAGAGAGTGGTTGATACACTGATGGATCCCAGGTTCTGGTTAGTGGAAACGGATGTGAAGACAAGAAGGGAGAGATCATTGAGGGGAAAAATTGAAGTGTCAAGGGTCTGAAGCAGCAATTCTTAGGTGGGGTTGGTGAAATTAGAATAACCTTGGGGACTTTTTCAAACTGCATCATCCTTCCTGTCCTGAACATGCATATTCTTACCTAGTGGGCATTCCCTCCCTTCATTTCTTCCCAATTAACAGTCACATCTATAGAGAGACATTGACATTGTTGACAGCAGAGGGGTGTCCCCCAGCCAGTAGCCAGGTAAGATTGAAGAATAGGTGTCACTGTTCTATCCGAAACCTTCAAAAATAGTGTCATATCAGAAACATTTTGTTGTTATGAAAAGAGTATGATATATATATATATAATATATATATATCATACTCATATATATATATATATATATGGAGAGAGAGACAGAGAGAGAGGGAGGGAGCTTAGTTGTATTTCAGTAGAAATATAAGTGAGTGAGAAATCCTTTTCAAAATTTGGTTCCCTTTGTAATTCGAGCAGTGCTGGTGATGGATTTGTTTCTCACTTTCAATTCCAAGTTGCAAAACCTGTAATGACAGGTAAATAGGTGGAGTCATCACCTGAAAACAGTTTGTGTCCAACCACCTCACCTGTAACTTTGCTAAAGAATGTTTGGTAATGATGATTTCTTTAAAAAAAAAAAATCTGTGAAATGATTTCAACCAAAGAAATGGGACCCAAGCTTTTGTAAACAGTGACTTTTTATTTCATGTTTGAGCCTTGCTCTTCCTTTATATTTCCTTCCTTGTTATGTTTGTTTGCATTTTGGCAAATCTTAAAAATATGGTCTTTCTCTTTGAGGTCTTTAAAGACTTTTCTCTCTCTCATTGCTTCCTGTCTGTTTCTTCAAGGTGAGAATGCAGGAAGATGCAGCTCTCCTAAACAAAAGAATAAGCACTCAGCCGGGGCTCACAGCTCTTCCTGAGAATCCAAACACCCCACTTCCACCTTTCCAAGATCCATCTTGTGAGTTGCAGCCAAGGATTGACTCATCTCTTGGTCAGCAGGTGAAGGACGGCCTCATTGTGGGCGGCCCAGGCGATGCTTCTGTGGATGCCATTTACAAAGCAGTGGTTGATGCAGCCAGCAAAGGAGTGCAGGCTGTCATCACCACTGCAGTCAACAGTACAACTCAGATCAGCCCCATTCCAGCTCTGAGTGCCATGAGTGCCTTCACTGCCTCGATTGGTGACCCATTAAGTCTCCCCAGTGCTGTCAGTGCAGTCATTCATGGACGAAACATGGGCAGTGTCGATCATGATGGTAGGCTAAGGAATGCAAGAGGGGCTCGGCTGCCCAGGAATCTGGACCATGGGAAGAACTCAAATGAAGGAGATGGGTTTGAATATTTCAAGTCAGCAAGTTGCCACACATCCAAAAAACAGTGGGATGGGGAGCAAAGCCCTGGAGGGGAGCGAAACAGGTGGAAGTGTGAGGAATTCTTAGATCATCCAGGCCATGTCCACAGTAGTCCTTGTCACGAAAGGTCCAACAATGTCTCCACACTGCCATTTCTGCCTGGGGAACAGCACCCAGTACTGTTACCACCAAGAAACTGTCAAGGGGATAAAATTCTGGAGGAAAATTTCAGGTATAATAACTACAAAAGAACTATGATGAGTTTTAAGGAGAGACTAGAGAACACTGTGGAAAGATGCGCACACATTAATGGGAACAGACCTCGACAGAGTCGGGGCTTTGGAGAGCTGCTGGGCACTACAAGGCAAGACCTGGTCCTAGAGGAGCAATCTCCAAGCTCCTCAAATAGTTTGGAAAATTCTCTAGTCAAAGACTACATCCATTACAATGGAGACTTTAATGCCAAAAGCATTAATGGGTGTGTGCCTAGCCCTTCAGACGCTAAGAGCATTAGTAGTGAAGATGACCTAAGGAATCCAGATTCCCCTTCTTCAAATGAGTTGATACATTATAGGCCAAGGACGTTCAACGTTGGCGACTTGGTCTGGGGCCAAATCAAAGGACTCACTTCTTGGCCTGGAAAATTAGTAAGAGAAGACGACGTTCACAATTCATGTCAACAAAGCCCCGAGGAAGGGAAGGTATACCAATCTTTATCCATTGTCAAATACTAACCTTTGTTCAGATGTCAATTGTTATTTTATGTTATCATCACTTTGGATTCTTTGGATTTGAAATTAGGATTCTTCATGACTCATTGAGGTCTCACAAACTTCTGGAGCATAAAATGAAGAGGGGATGGTTATAGTCACCAAAATGTCCTATCAAGGGGTGAGTTGTGAAGCATTCGTAGATTCTACAAGGGCCTGTAACCTAGGAACCAGATTTCCAGAGTTTTGTTAATTCTGCCTTCCTTCCCTGCATTTATCTAACTCTTCATTCCATACCCAGAGGATGAAGGCAAGTAGTAATGACTGGGAAAAAAATCTGGTGACCTTTGGAGTCCACGGGTGTGGCAGAGGTAGGGCAACAGGAAGTGCCGGGGGACAGCGTCTCCTCCATGTGCTCGCATGTGACACATACTGCTGAGGAGAGGGCCAAACCAGGGTGCAATTGCAGCCATTTCTGGAAGCCACAGGTAACGTCTGTGTTCAGAATGGTGTCTCCTTTCAGGAAAAGTTCTGGGCCTTTATAACATATGGAAATGTTTAACCCCACAGTCTGGTTCTACTTAACACAATCTGATCATATAAATTAAATGAAAACTTCTCCATGAAACTACCATTCAATTTAGAAGAAATTAGTAGGGGTCTTCTGGGTTTTACCCCCTCTCACAATGGTAGAATTGGCTCACGAGGCAAGAAATATGCAGAATGTTCAAAGCAGATAGAAAAATTTATATCTGACCAGGAGGAGATAATTATGCACATTCCCCACATGTAATGAAGAAACGTAATTTTTCATCTCCTTAGGAAATAAAAATTACTCTTACAAATATATATTATTCTCTTAAAGAGTATATTATATAAAGCTATTTTCAACTCTGCTCAAACTTCCACTGGCACTTAGGTTTAATGGCAGGAAACCAAAAACATTTTTGCCAGCACAATAAAAAGATTGTCTTTCTCCAAATGACCAGGAGGTCCTTAAACCCGTTGCTTATGATGCCTAATATATACTTGTCAGGATATGCTCTGGGCATAATGTTTCTACGTTTGATAAGAAAATGAATTCCATACTCCTGTTCACAAAACATTTTATTCTCTAATCTCTCTGAGACCAGACAAAACATTCTTTAGGTTGATAAACCTAAATACTTTTGACAGTTTATTCAAAAAGTAATTAGAAACAGCAAAATTGGGCTTTTATAATATAAATGGACTGCTACAAATTTAAAATGTAGATGCTGAACTGTTTTACAATCTCTGTGCAAATGAAACCACGTCTTTTTAGGTGCCATTTTACAAAAAGCTTAGCTAAAAAAAAAGATTATGGCCTCCCTTTCCTGGAAACATTCTTCCTGTCCTAAATGCCTTGTCTAAATATCTCTTCATGTCCTCAGGAGAATAAAGGCATGTACTTTTAACACATTTCACATTAAACAATGGTCCTAATCTTCTGGTTAGTGTGTGTTTGCAAACTCCTGGGACTGAGTTGCTCACTAATGTTTGGGGAGATACACTTTTAAAAAAATCATTATCTAAGAGTCCAAGAAACATTTATTTTGCTGCATTTGAATAAGCACCTGGTTTTCACTCACTATGTTTATTGTAAGTGTTTAAAATATCCAGATTCTTCTTCCTTATTATAGGCAATAGATGAATTGCTAATAGGGAGCATAACATTTCTGTCAATTCAAATGTCCTTCCCCACTGCCTGACATTGTAAGTTGGCATTCTGACAACCTTAGTATGAAAACCTTGATATCATGATACACTAAAAATATTTTTAGTAATTCACAAAAAATAATGTAAAGCATACATTTAGAGGTGCAAAATTGAAAACATATAATAAAATATTAATGATAACACATGAAATATTTATCTATCATTAAAAAGTAAGGTATAACAGCCTTAGAAGCTCTAGGGCACATAACATTTTTAAAAATCTCTGGTCTTTTCAGGACCTACCTCACTTTTGCACATTAAAAAAAACAAAACAAAGTGCTGTTTCACAAACACTGTTTTTTCTTCTATAGTTCACAAAAAAAGGAAGGGCTTCCTCATAGCTTATTTAATGATGCCCCCGAAAGCCAATGTTCTCAATGTATAAGACCAGGAAAGGTGAAATTTCAAACACAAGTCTGTCTGACTTCAAGCCAAATGGCCTTTCCTTGATGTCTTGATGATTCTGGTTCATCAAGAAAAAAATTAAACTATGTTCAATATCTGTGTAAGACAAAGCATGATTCTATTTGAAAAGATTTCCAGTAAAACATTTTTAAAATGTGTACTCTTAGTCCGGTGAACAAACCAGTCATGATGTAAATTTTATTTACATAGAACCCCTTAGTCCTCAGCAATGCTGGACAAATAAAGTCTTGTGCATTAATAATCAGATTTCTGCTTTTAAAAAGATAAGCAATGCATTAGGTTTCCTTCTATATACTGTAGCAAAGGCTGACATTTTAATAAAGTCAAGAGAGAAAGATAGAGACTGACTCCATAAACAATTTGTTTATTATAGGAAAATCTAATTGATTCCACCTTGCTAATGTGGAATGTTAGGACCACATCCCCTATGTTTATCTTTGTAGTATCTCAGAAGAAAAGGTTAGTAACCAATTTTCTTACACGTTATCATTTTAAACCTTCTTAGCTTCTCAGTTTTTCATACTATTTCCATGTCCACCAAAGTAAATTAATCCAAGATTCTGTCAGATCCCTCCAGATAAAGTGTATGTTAACTCAAGTGTTAGAATAGATTTATTATCTTATCTCTCCCCACCCCCACATCCCACAAACCTATCATTTATTTTCTGTTGCAGTCTTTGTTCTCAGCAAACCACTTCAAATTCTTTTCAGAAGCAAGCAAAGTAAAAAGAAAAAAAATTATGGTAATTAATTAAGCTGGGCATCAATCTTGTTTTCAGGTTGTGTGGGTCCTCTCTGGACCAACAGATCAATGCTGTGACTGGAGCACTGATGTCTGCCTAGGGCTGAGATGTCCACGTTGTCCTTAAGTTGATACCTTAGCCAACTGTCATAGTAAATGACCTGGTCAGTTTATGGTCTTAGAAAGGCATTTTTAATCTTTGGTGGGATATTAAATGTAACAGAATTACTAATAATGCATTAGAACTGTTCAGCACTTTTTGAGATTGCTTCCTAAGAGGTTTTATTTCAAAACATCAAGTACTCTATGAACATAGTCTACAGAGAACTAGAGAGAAAGCAGAGTGTGGCAGAAAGAGGTATAGGCTTTAGGCATTCTCACATGAGCTTAATCCCAGGGGCATCAGTTTCCTAAATGATGCTGGGTAGCTGTATTAATCACCCAAGCTGCAATCTCCTCACCCCCCAAGTGGGAATATCAGTTCCTACTCAAAATAATGTCTTAAGAATTAAATGAGATACCATAAGTAGATTATCCAACACTCAAATGAGGCTCAGTAAAAATTAGCCTCCTTGCCCATTTTTTTTTCATCTCTTTGTGGTTTTTTATTTTTGTTTTTGTTTTGTTGTTATTGTTGTTTTATGTTAGACAACCTTATTAATTTGGATTTCACCACCGTGGAATTGTGCTAATTTGACTTTAGTTATTGTTTACCTATGCATTATCCATGAATAAAAGATTTACTAACCAGGTTGAGGGTGAGAGGATTATAATATATATGTTTAATGGATGAAATTGTTGATAACCATTTGTTAATCAAGTTCAGCACATCGCATACAAATTGGCGTATCAGATTACAAGTTGTTATTAGCTGTTCATTTCAAGCACGAGTTCTACTTGGAAGCATTTTAAAGCTTGAAAGTCCCTCCCAACAGTGTTGCTAAAAACTACCAACTCAGACTTTCTTCCTTTACCTTCCTACCCCACCCCCACATATACAACAATTTTAATTAGTAGAGATTTTTAACAGTCCATGGAAAGTTGGACCGAATCGCCCCTACAGAATACTGCCCCAATACTGAAGCTATGTGACAACACTAGAGAATATCCTGTGCCTGGTATTACACCACTCAGAAAGTAGCATTCATCTCCTTACCCTCTGCTACATTCTTTCCTTCAGTTACCAGTTTGTCACGAAGTATGGCCTGAAAGATATTTATACTTTTTCTAAATAAATGATGCAAGTTTCTCTCTGAACCATAAATCCTTTATAGTTTAAGGTTCAGTGGCCAAGAATAAGCCCTCAGTGCTGGGCTCCAGTACATCATCATAGCCGGAGAGGCGCACTGCCAGATCTTGGCACAGTATTAGGGAATTCTTGGAAAGGGAAGTGGCTTCGGCTGGCATTACACCTCTCCACCTCCACCATGATGTACACACTCAAAACTTACATTTTGAGTCTATGAAACTGGGGTGGGGGAAATGGGTGTCTTTATATACTTGTTTCAGTCATTATTTAAAAATGGGAAAAGTGCTCCTGTTTTCTAAACTATATTTTGAAATTATCATCTGCCATCTCTGATCTTACATTAACTAGCCTACAAGTATTGTCTGTCAAAGTAATAATCAAATAATAAAATTCCTTTTTTAGTACATAAATTTTACTCTTCTTGAACATTTCCCGTTGGTCTTCATGTCATTGCTCTTACATTCAATGTGTATTCTGCCTTGAGCCAAATTTAGGAAAAGATTTATTTCTAGATTGGCACCATAATGTTTCTTTTCAATGAAACATTGGTTGTTAGTGGACAGGTAGAGACACCTCCTGATTACCCAGAAAAGTTCTACATTTCAGTGCCACACTACATGACCAAATAAAAGCATGTTTTTAATAGCAGTGGGTAGGGTTCTGTCTTTAGAATTACACTTTGCCTTTTTTCACATGATTATATTTGGCAGGTAGAGATAAAAATAATTCTCTGAATAGTCATTCAAATGAGACAAGACTCATCATTTATTATTAAAACTCATAACTAAACTTATTTGAGGACAATACACTTTCTGTATGTCAGGTGACTATCACACA